AAGTTCTCATTATCATCTGTGTTATTGCATTCCCACACCAGAAAAAAAGAAAAAAAAAAGTAAAACATAAACATTATTAATGGCTTGCTCATTTCAGTAACAATATACCTTAACGATGTCATGGTACTGTCTCGCAATTGTATCAAAATGCGGATCCACTCCTTGATATTCTCTGAGCCGTGTCACCTGGTCATTTCGCAGGCTCGGTTTATTTATAGGATTTTAATCAATGAATATGTGACCAAAAGGGTTAAAGTTAAGCAATGAAAGAGGATAAGACACAAACCGCTTTGTTATATGCAGCTGAAGCTTCCTCAGTAGCCTCGACTAGATAATTCCTGGAAAAATACAAAACGAAATTGAAGGTGAGAGTCTGATGCATGAGTTCATACCTCATGGTATAAATATACTTCCGGAAAATTTTGATTTCTGCACCTGATGCTGTGCAAGGCTGGTATGGATTCAGGGGTGTATGTCTCAAGTAGGAGAATATGTTCTAAAACCCTTCAAGCAGAACAAAATAAGACATATTAGCTACTGATATAGCCTCAAATTTAGATCCTTAACGGTGAAAGGATGAGAATGATACCTTAATTTTGCGTTCATGGTCTCACACCTTTTACACAACCAAGTCTTTTGCATCTCATCCTGTAACAATATGTAGAGTGAGGACAATGATAACAGGGCAGCAAGCAATTGAATCAATTGAAAAACACTGAAACAAGCTTACATATTTGTGTTGGTGTTCCAACTTCAGATCCTTCACAAGCTTTATAAGCACCCCGAGTATTTGTTCAAGGACCTAGTTCAGAATAAAAACGAACAGTCATCAAAACTTACTAACACTAGGGAGTAGAACGATAATTCTTAGGCAGTAGCATTGATAACACGAACAAACTTATCTATAAAAAACATATTTAGAAACATTTCACGCAACAGCCAGGTAATTGGATTTTCTTTTTGCATACTACATTATGATATGCCTTTTCACCTACATTGTAATATTCTGCAAACTTCCTGTCAGCCGAGTAGAGGTCCTCTCGTAGAGCTGCCTCTTCTCTTTCAATCTCCTCAATTATAAACTTGACCCTGGAAAAGCAAGAAAACATCGTCATTGAGACCTTCAGAGGATGAATAAGTGTGAGAAAACCATCTGCTCCTTCAAGACTTTCGAAGTAAACTGTATAGAGAAACAGAATACCTAATACCCTCTACCTTTATGATATTAGATAAGCTTTTCAGCTGTATATATTGCTTAGAACTACCATAGATATACATGTGTATGCAGCATTATCTACATGTATATCCCTAGAAAGATAAGTGTTCATTAAACTCATAAATCAGATTAATTTGATTTCGCAGTGATAATCAGGTTTTTTTTTTCACAGATATTTTTTGCCCTAGTTAAAAGCGATAAAGCTAACCTTTCTGGGAGTCTAGCACTTGAATTTTGGTTTCCTGTAGATGAATCTGTCATTTAAAGTATACAATCAGGAAAATCTGGTCATTACGTGCAGTGCTTAACATGAAAGGCCCAGTATTACATTAGACAAGATCAAACGAAATTAGCTAAGGAACGAGGGACCTCTCCCTCAACGTATGCTGGTAGTGAAGATCTTACCAGTATCATCAACAATGGCATCAGCCAACTTATCACACTTGTCTTTCAATCGACCTTCTATCTCACGGGCAAGAAACATTTGGTAGTCAGCCATATCCTAAGAAAATTTATTAAGAAAAAAAACGAATTAGAGACCCACATATATCCATATCCCCAGATACTTTCATAAGAACATGAGAATTGGTGTTATCAACAGATGCAGGCACAATATAGTTATTAAGAGACCAATACGAGGCAGAATATGATCTCACAATACCATGGACATAGTATTCTGGAGCTGGACGTAGGATAAATAAGCAGGTGTAATTCCAAGAAAGCGATTCGGCACACCACCAACTACGTCAGTATCAGCAGCACTAAGACTGGTCCCACCAGCAGCGCTGTTTGCAGAGCTATTCGCATAATTCACGGAGTTAGAAGTGGAGCTTATTGTGAAACTCGTGCTTGCACTATCAAGAGAGCTTCTTGATAGTATACTCCATTTTTCAATCTCTTCCTCATGAATTTCACCATCATCTGAAATAAGAGGTAGCCTCAGTTTCTGAGCTGCCTCAGCAACCACCAACCTATGCTCTAGAGTCTCATAAACCTGAAACAAATACGATTTTGCTCATAAATGAGTCTTGAGATGAACTCGAATTCTAGAAAATCACGTTTTGAGACTAGAAACCTGAGGAGAATTCTTCAAGCCAAGTTGAGGGTAAAGACCCTGAACATCCCGAACTCCTCCATGGTTAGCCACTGAAATAGCTTGCTGGTATTCTTCTACCATAGCTACAGCTTCACAATAGATAGCCTACGAGTTGTGAAAACGCAGAAAAGAAAAGTGAGTCCTTAGATTGCAATGATGAATGTGGAAATCCGAAGCTAATGGGGGCAAGAACTACAGAATACAAAACCCTAATTTTGGAGTAATCAGCTTCAACACAAATCACTGAATGAAAATGCTTAATTGAATTAAACCCAAGAAAAATTCTGAAAATGAAGGTAAAAGAAGAAGAGAGAAAGCGTTACCATAGCTTCCAAATATCGCAGTCTCTCCCGAGACATCTCTTCTCTCGCCTGCAATGTCGATTCAATAACACTTGAGAGGATTAGGAACACAAATCTGAACCCAATTTTCGTAAGAGATGAAAAACAGAGGCAGGAAGAGAGAGAGAGAGAGATTACGAGTTGAAGATCGTAGTAGGCTGATTTGGTAACAAGAGATCCATCGGGAGCCAAGCAGTGACGCTCTAACTGATCGATCAATTGGTTGACATCCGCCGGCAGATTCTGAGCCGCGCCTTGCAGTGCCTTCACCATTGATATCTTCCGCCGAGATGAATACGGCGGCGATATATGTCCCGATACAAAATGTGTGAACTTTCCGGCGAGTGGATCTGCTTCGATTATATCTTGCCGCGACAGTTGATTCAAAAAATATTCCCCGGCTTTCTCGATCTCCTAGTCTCACTTTGTTTTTATCTTCTCTTTTAAGCAAAAGGGAAAAATTGTTAAAACGTCGTGCTTTTGTTTTTTTGTTTTTTAAAAAAAAAAACACTGTAGAATTTCTGCAAATATTTTGCCAATCAACAAAAATTTCTGAAATAAAAAATACAACACAAAAATACAGTTTATTTTTTTCTTAATGAAAATACAAAGAAAAGAAATCATTACTCAGAAAAGTAATTTTTAACTAGATTGATTCATTCCACAAAATTATTTCTGTCATTTAACAATTACGTATTTTGCAAAATTGTTACCAATCAAAGTCTGTATAAACTTTCAAAATTCTGCAAAATGCTTTTGTTTTGAAAATTTTCAGGATGATTGTAAAAGAGATCATCACAACATGTATATACTTCCTTGGACCTTGACTTAAAGCATCTTCAAATTCTTACAGAATGGTAATACAATCTTATCAAAATAATTCCCAAGAAAAAGAAAAGGTAAATTATATAGATTAAGTGAAATTTTGGCTGTCTTTGCCACACAATATCGGTATCTGAGCATGACAAACTTAGGAACATGGCTTGTTATACTTGAAAATGAGTAGCCAATTTAATCTAACACTAATTAAGTTAATTGAGATCTAGGCATCTAGGAAAGTTTAGGATCTAGCGATAGTAACTTTGAATACCACAATTTGACTTTCTTAATAGTATAATGCTATTCTACTTTTGTTTCTTGGGTCGTCATTTGCTAGTTGTAAATTTGTAAAGCAAATGCATGCGTTGTTTTATTCTCCTTCTTCGATTTCCATTTTATTGCAAGATATCATCTATATAGCCTAATGCCGAGTTAAGATATTGTCACAACTAGTTTTTGAACTACAAAAATAAGTTTTGTCGACAACAAACAAAAAGTAAATGTAAATAAATACCACCATTATGAAAAAAAAAAAATCAAAAATACCACAAGATTTTGGTTTCGTAAGAGTTCTTAAAACTTAATAGTAACTAGTAAGGCTTACTAATAGATACATTTTCTAACTTGAACCTTTACTAAACATAAAATTTGTTGTAACTTTGGAATTTTTTGATATTTCGGTGGTAATTAAAAAAAACATAAAATGTAATAGATTTGAGAATGGCCTTTAGATTTTGTATTGTTAGTAACAAACAAACAAAGAGTAACTTGATTATGCATATTTAAGCTAGTACTAGGGGTATATATGGATAGATTTCCCACCTGACCAATTATGGATGACAGATTTTTCAGTATAGAGTTTTTGGCAAACCATCACTAGATCAAAGTTCATGACCACATTGTCTGAATAACTTAGTTCACCCATGGAAAGTCTAATTATGATTAAAAACAATTTCACAGCAAAATTCCAAAAATGCTTGAGTTATGATTAATTATGCCAATTCATCAGACTTATTATTACCGATCATAGATTTATATCAAATATAAAGTTTTGCAATATCTTTTCTTTAACAAAGATTTTGTTTGCAAAATTTTGCAAGATCTTCGTGTGTTGATTTTTTTTGTAGTTGAAGTTTTGAGACCGAAACGTCATACTATTCAGAAGATGTACAACATTAGAGTAAATCTTGTAGCTACCAAATTATTAATTGTAAGACAAAAAATTCTACAAGTAATACTCAACTAAAATATACCCAAGTTTTTCAATAAATTAAGATGATGGTATATTAAGGATATATGAGATATCTCGAGGTAGATACCATAATCAGTGATCATGTTTTCCATTTTATATCAATCCCAATTCCCAAATGACAAGATAGCCAATCTATTAATCAAATTCTTGATCCAAATTTCTATATAAAAATCAACAAATCCAAACAACAACGTTATCTTATATATAAAACCATATTGGTTTGGAACACTAGTAAACATACCAAAGTTTACTATGGAAAAACTAACCAATCACATATCACGCATAATTACACAACCCATAGACACAGAACTCACCAACCAAACAACTATGATTACACTCCCCACAATGTCTCTTATCATAAGCCAAGTAAACGCACTCTCCCCCACAACAAGCCTGCGTGAACAAGCATTGGTTCTTACATGCGCCACAGTTATCGTTATCGTACGCCACATCAACACACTTGTTGCTACAACACGCCATTGTGGAGTTGTTTGTTCCTTGACTCTTGCATATCTCCTCGTTTTTATTGCAATGCTCTGCCCCGTTAGCGTTACGACCGATCTTCGCGTTCTGTGCTAGGAAACGACTCACCCTAGGAGGCTTCTTCGTCAGCGTTTTTGCTTGCGTTTGCATGTGCATGTGCATTTCTGTTTTGTTGTTGCCAATGAATATTGTAGAAATCAATACAAAGATGGTTATGAAAATTGTTAGAGATATTGCCAAGATGATATTCTTAAGCCCCATCGCGTTTCTTCGTTGTTAAAGAGAGAATGAGAGAGGTTTAGGGGCGTAATGAAATGATTGTGAAGGAAGAAGGAAGTAGAGTTTATATAAAGTTTGACGAGTCGTTTATTTTGTAGTAGCCATGCATGTGGTGGAGTGAGTAGAGTACGTTCAAATAATTCTTCATTAATGTTGAATATTTTTCTCACAAAGTCCAAAGTATTTGTAATTAGTTTTCCAAGAGTTTTGACATTTTCAAGTTTATATTTAAACAACCTAATTTTTTGTTTTGTAGCGTAAGTATGTATATTTTAATATTTGTTTGGGCCTGTTTTATTATTCTTCATTAGATCCAATTGTGAACGAAGGAGGCAGGAACCATAAATCTAAATTAATATTAAAAAGGCTAGCTAATTGACCCAATATGATTTTTTGATTAAAAAATAATTTGTTAATTTGATCCAATATGTTTTACTAATCTTTCTTGTTGTCATCGATTATATAATTTTGTATTGGATCAATAACTATATACATATCTTATGATTCTTGGATTCAAGCTTAGAAGTTACCTAACTAATATAAAAACTGCATAAGGTACTATGTTTAGGAGAAACTTCTAAACCATAAAAACGGCATATTAAGTTTTGAAAAAGTGTTCTATAATCATTACAATACTAGCTAGTGTGATACAATGTGACCAACTTGATCAAGTTATATATGCTTGAAATAAAAGTGTGTGAACAAAAATATGAAGGAATATAAGCCGGCTATAAAGGAAGAGCCAGAATGTGACCTTAATAGTGTGGCTTTGGACGAGGAATTAAAGGCATGCTGTATGGTGAAGCAACATTAATCAAATCACTAATTGATCAATCCAGACTTTCGTTCCAAGTTTTGGTGTCCTCTCGTACACCGTCGGCCGAATAATCTTATAGTTAAAATATTTCATTATACACAACTTGAATTTTTTTTTTTCTCTTGGCAGTATGATTTTCGTAATTACGTTGATTGTGATAGAAGATTAACGATAACTTGCCCGCTTTTTGACAAACGAGGCTGGAACCTGGAAGTGAACCGTATAAGGAAGTCATTCAGGAGTGACGTAATAAGCTATCTTTTTGTACATTAATTGAAAGCATTTTACTTGGATTTTTATTTTTAATTATTATCATCATCAAATGAACGTGCCATTTGAGTACATAACCGTATAGGTGTGTTTGTATAACGTAGCATTTACCCACTAGAGTACTAGGTATATAAAACCTAAGTTTTCCGTACGTGGACTAATGCATACTCTTTTTTATTCAAACAATTCACTACGAAATATAGAATGATTGTGCTAATCAAAATCTAATTTATAAAATATCTTAATATCCTATTAATGACTCATTTTGTTGGTTTAGGCAAAGGATCAAATCCCCTCAAACATAAAATTATCTCACCTCTCCAGTGATAAAACACTCGATAGCTTTCGACAATTAGTTTTGAAATTGGTCTAAGATGACCCTGGATATCGAAAAAAAAAATTAATTTATAAACGAAATAATTATCCATCAACCTAAGAGCAAATGCATATTCAAGTTGACATTCGAATAATGACAGCACAAAAGAGACTTAACTTATTTGACTCTGGTATCAAATTCAAAGAGATTTAAGGAACTACCATCTATTATTTATAAAAAAAACCATATAAAATAGTTTGACTACCAGTAATTCAGGTTGCTTTTTCATGGGTGATTTGCAAGAATAATAGGTTTTTGTCTGACAATTGGAGAAATAACGTCCAAAATCGATCAATTAACAAACTAGCAGCAGTCAACTGCTTTTTCAGTGGGGAAAATACTAAAATCCCCTTGCTTCCTTATCCTAAACATTGCTTTTTGCTGACACAAAAAAACGATATCTGTTTTTTCAAAGTTAAAGATGCTACCATCAATTTTGGAACGATAGCAGTCTTTACTTTTGGGATAATAAAAGTAATTAAAAGTCGACTTTGGAATGATAACAATGTCTACAATTTATACATAAATAGACGAATATTAAAAGTTGATTACGTACCTGTTTCCAAGTTTCTTCGGTATTTGGATCGGTTCAGCCAGCATTATTATCGGTAACCTTAACAGTCAAAATAAATAGAAGATATAGACGATTACATATATGAATTACATAGACAACTATTAGTAGATGGATTAGTCTGTCCTTTGTCTAACTCAGAATTCGGGTCAAAATGTTCGCACGTGCATTATCGTCGGTGGTCTAAGAAGTAACAGTATATAAATCAAAATAATCATTTACAAAATAGACGGCTACAAATAGATAAATACAAAGTTGGTCGTTAACTTGGTCGTTAGCAGATTTCAAAATTCGAATCTGGGAGGTCTGACATATCCTCGGTTGTCTGAACAGTATCACTAGACTAATAAAAATGATTATAAAATAGATGGATACTATTAGATGTATATGAACCTGAACTTTGGCGAATTCAGAATCTGGATCTCGAAAATCTAACATATTTTCGGTTGCCTGAAAAGTATCACTAGAGGAATGAAAAAACTATTATAAAATATATGACTATTAATAGATGGATACAAACTTGAACTTAGCAGACTTGGAATTCAGATCTGGAAGGTCTGCAATATCCTCGGTTGCCTGAACAGTTACAGTAGAAGAATACAAAATAGGAAACGATAAAATGTTTGACTATACTTATACAAGTACGAAACTGATCTTTAACAAATTCTGAATTCGGGTCTGCTATGTTAGTGTTTCTTCGCAAGGCTACTATGAACAGTATAATAGGGGTATTTCTGACTTTTTTTATCTTGTTGTCGATTCTTTTTTATTTAAAATCCGAGTACATAATGCTAGGCATCTTAATAGAAAGTAATACTAAGTAATCAGATACAAAAATTTCAACTACAATTAAAAAGCGTATAATAAAATAGTACGCTACAAATGTGAAACGAGATGTTCATAATTAAATAGTAGTTGACTACAAAAAATGCTCAGAATATATAACATAGTCATCTACACATAAGTAGTTTACTATGGCAGATAACTAAGACGCGAGAACATTCCTCGCAATTTGGTAATGAGTGAACAAGTAGCAATGCTCCTTCAAGGGTGTTTCCAACCGCATTCGGCGAATATATGGTCTAACACCTGAAGTCCGCAGATTCTCTCTCTACTCTTACAAAGACATCGATCAATACATCTGAAACTGGAGAAATACATTGTTTGCCATTCTGTATATACTAATAAAGTAAATAACTATTAGTAGACAAATATAAAATACTATTAGTAGACAACAAAAATAAAGTAGACAACTATTAAAGTAGATAACAATTAAGCGACCTGAACAAAGATAAAGTAGACAACTATTAATAGAAAAAACTAACATCTAAGTTGACCACAATAAATTTAGAAGCACAAGATTTACCGTTACACAGAGAGGTTCAATAAGGAATGCGTTTGTAGCTAGAGGAATATTGGCCATTCTGAAAACTAAACGAAAAGTAGACAACTATTAATAGACAAATAATTACACATAGATTTGACAAAAAGTAGACAACTATTAATAGTCAAAAATTTAACATATTTTTTGGGTCTGATTTATGCCGAAATTGAATAGAACTTTTGCAACATAAAGTGGACGGGTATGAAATTAACTCGAAATGGAAGATTTGACACTACTATAGAGCAAAATATATGTGAAAACTTAAATCTGATAAACAAAAGTTGCATTTAGATCTAAGCGACCTGAAGAAAAATTTTGTAGACGTGAAATGCGAATCAAAAATAAAGTACAAAGAATAATGAATCGAAGATGTGGGGAAAACCTGTCAAGAAAGTGAGCTTGGGGTGGAAAAGCTATAAATAGAGAGTGCAAGGGATTTCGTTAGGGCAGCTTTTGAAATCGTTTCGGCGGTGAGGGATTAAGTCACGGCGTCCATGGATTTTGAAGCAGCGATGAAAGTTTTATTGGCGGTAGGGGATTTTTAACTACGGTGGGAGAAAAAAGAAAAATAAAGAAAAAAGTAAAGTTGATGGTTTGAAATGTGAAATGGGAAGAAAGAGAAAGATAGGTATCTAAAGCAATAAAATGAAAATGTCAAAAAAAAAATTTCTGAATGTCATTAATTGAAAATGGGTAATATTGCTTGTAGTAGAGGATGGGGTGCTGCGTAATTTTTCAGGTAATAAATTGATTATTTTAATAGTGCAAATTTAGACTCTGACTTATGTCCTTCCACCTAATTTTCCCTTTTTCATTTACATCTAAGTCCGGTACGTATGGTGTGACCATGGACCGTGTGGACTCGGTTGGAGCAACCGAAATTAATCCGTGTGGACTCGGTTGGAGCTTGGTTTGGTTTGGTTCGGTTCCATTCGTTCCCCGTTCTTTAAGCACTATCCAATTCGATGTTTTTTCTAAAACGACGCCGTGTACACGTCTTTTTAGTTTTTAGCGTTTTGCTTGTCTTGAATCGCAGATCGTCTCTGGAGAGACGACGACGACGACGACGACGACCAGAATCACAAAGCCATGGAATTCGAATTCCGGCGTCGCGACTATGGAGCTGAGAATGATTCTCAACTCCTTCCTCGTTCACGAGCTGAGAAGCACCCTCTTTCATCTACACTTGTTTCTCGTCAACAACAGGTCTGCGATTCGCTTCCTAAGTGCGTTCCCCTTTTTTTTTTCGTGACTGGTTATTTTATTCTCAGATTTGGTTCCCTTATCCAATTCATTAGACTTATGCTACTTCACAGAGCTTAAAGAATTAATTTAGGCTTTGATTTTTTGGATGTTCGAGGACGTCAATACGTTGTTGTTTGTTCTTGTTGATGTGATCTTTGCTGCTGAATTTGAAGGCTTCGTGTAACGATTATGTTAAGTTTACGTTTCTGTTAATGAGCAATAGGCATTTTGTACAATCAAGTGCTGTTTTCCATTTCTGTGATTCTCTCTTGGATTTCTTAAAGTTGGTGGGTATCTGGAAGGCTAGTTAACTAGATTG